TCGCCAGAATTTTGTTGAGGATTTTTGCATCTAGGTTCATTAGAGATATTGGTCTGTAGTTTTCTTTCTTTGAAGTGTCTTTGTCTGGTTTAGGTATCAGGGTGATGTTGGCCTCGTAGAATGAATTTGGAAGTTCTCCCTCTTTTTCTATTTCCTGAAGTAGCTTGAAAAGTATTGGTATTAGTTCCTCTTTAAAGGTTTTGTAAAACTCTGCTGTATACCCATCCGGTCCTGGGCTTTTCTTAGTTGGTAGTCTTTTGATGGTTTCTTCTATTTCCTCAATTGATATTGGTCTGTTTAGGTTGTCTATATCCTCCTGACTCAATCTGGGCAGATCATATGACTTAAGAAATTTATCTATGCCTTCACTATCTTCTAATTTATTGGAGTATAAGGATTCAAAATAATTTTTGATTATCTTCTGTATTTCTGAAGTGTCTGTTGTGATATTGCCTTTTTCATCCCGTATGCTAGTAATTTGAGTTCTCTCTCTTCTTCTCTTCGCTAGCATGGCTAAGGGTCTGTCGATTTTGTTTATTTTTTCAAAGAACCAACTTTTAGTTTTGTCAATTTTTTCAATTGTTTCTTTTGTTTCGATTTCATTAATTTCAGCTCTGATTTTAATTATTTCTTGCCTTCTACTTCTTTTGCTGTTGTTTTGCTCTTCTTTTTCTAGGATTTTGAGATGAAGTATGAGATCATTTATTTGTTGGTTTTTTCTTTTTTTAAGGAATGAACTCCAAGCAATGAATTTTCCTCTTAGAACTGCTTTCAATGTGTCCCATAGATTCCGATATGTTGTGTCTGTGTTTTCATTTATCTCTAAGAATTTTTTAATTTCCTCCTTGATGTCTTCTATAACCCATTGATCATTCAGTAACCTATTGTTCATTCTCCAAGTGATGTATGCTTTTTCCTTCCTTCTTTTATCGTTGATTTTCAGTTTCATTCCATTATGATCAGATAAGATGCATGGTATTATCTCTACTCCTTTATATTGTCTAAGAGTTGCCCTGTGACATAATATATGATCTATTTTTGAGAAGGATCCATGTGCTGCTGAGAAAAAAGTGTAACTGCTTGATGTTGGGTGGTATACTCTATATATGTCAATTAGGTCTAGGTTATTAATTGTGTTATTGAGTTCTATAGTTTCCTTATTCAACTTTTGTTTGGAAGATCTGTCCAGTGGCGAGAGAGGTGTGTTGAAGTCTCCCATGATTATGGTATGGTGGTCTATTAGACTCTTGACCTTGAGAAGAGTTTGTTTGACGAACATAGCTGCACCATTGTTTGGGGCATAAATATTTATGATTGTTATGTCTTGTTGGTGTATGGTTCCCTTAAGCAGTATGTAGTGTCCCTCTTTATCCCTTTTGATTAACTTTGGCTTGAAATCTATTTTATTTGATATGAGTATGGACACTCCTGCTTGTTTCCGAAGTCCATATGAGTGATATGATTTTTCCCAACCTTTCACCTTCAGCCTATGTATGTCTTTTCCTATCAAATGCGTCTCCTGTAGGCAGCATATAGTTGGGTCTTGTTTTGTGATCCATTCTACTAGCCTGTGTCTCTTAATTGGTGAGTTTAAGCCATTAACATTTAGGGTTATTATTGAGATATGGGTTGTTCTTCCAGCCATATTTGTTTATTTCTGTTACTAAACATGGTTTGTTTTCCTCTTTGATTATTTTCCCCCCCTTTACTGTCCTACCTCCCACTGTTGGTTTTCATTGTTATTTTCCATTTCCTCTTCCTGTAATGTTTTGGCAAGGATGTTTTGAAGAGATGGTTTTCTAGCTGCGAATTCTTTAAACTTTTGTTTATCGTGGAAGGTTTTAATTTCATCTTCCATCCTGAAGCTTAATTTCGCTGGATACACAATTCTTGGTTGGAACCCATTTTCTTTCAGTGTTTGAAATATGTTATTCCAGAATCTTCTAGCTTTCAGAGTCTGTGTTGAAAGATCAGCTGTTATCCTGATTGGCTTACCCCTAAATGTAATCTGCTTCCTTTCTCTTGTAGCTTTTAAAATTCTCTCCTTATTCTGTATGTTGGGCATCTTCATTATAATGTGTCTAGGTGTGGATCTCTTATGATTTTGCACATTCGGCGTCCTGTAGGCTTCTAGGATTTGGGATTCTGTCTCATTCTTCAAGTCTGGGAAGTTTTCTCGTATTATTTCATTGAATAGACTGCTCATTCCTTTGGTTTGGAGCTCTGTACCTTCCTGTATCCCAATGACTCTTAAGTTTGGTCTCTTAATGTTATCCCATATTTCTTGGATGTTCTGCTCATGGTTTCTTAACAGTCTTGCTGAGCTGTCTATGTTCTTTTCCAGTTGAAATACTTTGTCTTCATTGTCTGATGTTCTATCTTCTAAGTGTTCTACTCTGCTGGTAGTATTCTCCATTGAGTTTTTAAGTTGGTTTATTGCTTCCTGCATTTCTAGGATTTCTGTTTGTTTGTTTTTTATAACCTCTATCTCCCTGTATAGTTGATCCTTTGCTTCCTGGATTTGTTTGCATAATTCATTGTCGAAGTGATCTTTCATTGTCTGATTTTGCTGTTTAATGTCTTCCTTGATACTCCAGATCATCTGAAGCATGTATATCCTGAATTCTTTATCTGACATTCCATCTGCTGCAGCTGTTACCTCTTCTAAAGTTGCGTTGACCTGCATTGCTTGTGGTCCTTTCTTTCCTTGTCTTTTCATACTGCTTGCGTATCTTTCCTGCAGGCGCGGGCGGCGGCTCTGCTCTCTCCTTATTCCAATTGGGGTGTCGTGGCTACCACGCCGGCAGGTCACTGGGCCTGTTCTGGGCGCTGGCGGCGGCTCTGTTCTGCCCCTACTCCAATTGGGGTGACGAGTGTACCATGCCGGCAGGCCACCGGGCCTGATCCGCCGGTCGGTTGCAGGTTTGCCTACCATGCAGGCGCGGGCGGCGGCTCTACTCTGCCCCTACTCCAAATGGGGTGACGTGTCTGTCGTACCGGCAGGCCACTGGGCCTGTCCCGCTGGTCGGTCGCAGATCTGCCCACCTTTCGGGCATGGGTGGAGGCTCTGCTCTGCCCCTACTCCAATTGGGGTGTCGTGACTACCCCGCCTACAGGACGCTGGGCCTGTTCCTGGCACGGGCGGCGACTCTGCTCTGTCCCTACTCCAATTAGGGTGGTGTGTGTACCACGCCGGCAGGCTCCTGGGCCTGATCCGCCGGTCTGTCGCAGGTCTGCCTACCTTGGAGGCACGGGCGGCGGATCTGCCCTGCCCCTCCTACCACGCCTGCGGACCCCTGGGCCTCATCTGCAGGTTGGTCACAGGTCTGCTCACCCTGCGGGCACGGGTGGCGGTTCCGCTCCGCCCCCACTCCAATTGGGGTCATGTGGCCACCACACCGGCAGGGCCTGATCCGGGCGTGGGAGAAGGATCTGCTCTGCCCCTACTCCAGTTGGGGTGACATGTGTACCACACTGGCAGGCCACTGGGCCTGACCCGCCAGGCTGTCACAGGTCTGTTTACCTTGCAAGCGCGAACCGCGGCTCTGCCCTGCCCCTCCTACCACGCCCATGTACCACTGGGTCGCGGGTCTGCCCACCTTGCGGGTGCGGGTGGCGGCTCCGCTCCGCCCGCTCTCCAATTGGGGTCACGCGGTCACCACGCTGGCGAGCCGCTGGGCCTGCTCCGGGCGCTGGCGGCGGCCCGGCTCCTCCCCTCTGGCTCGAGGACAAATTGAGGAGACTCGGGTGTCTGTGCCTCACCCCCCCCTACCAGGAGACCAACTGTTTCTGTTGCCGCTGGTATTGATGAAGTTCTCTCCTCCGCCGCTTTCTGATGACATCAGATCTCTGCCATGTTGGTATCTTATGCGAATGGCAGCATTTCGTTCCCCTTGCGGGGCAACCAAAGCAACGGGTGAGTCCTGACCGGCCCTCAGCAGGACCCAGACCGAGAAGCAGTTTCCGCGGGCTTCTAGCCCTGGGCCAGGGAAGTTCCGGGAGCCGGAAGTCGGCCGCTCCGTGCTCGGTGTAAACTCCTATAAGAGTAGGCTCCAAGAAGCAGTCCCCGCGGGCTCAGTTCCGGGAGCCGGAATTCGGCCGCTTAGTGCTTGGTGTATGCTCTGATAGGAACAGGGTCCAAGAAGCAGCCTCCGCAGGCTCCGCAGCCCTGGGCCAGGGCGGTTCCGGGAGCCGGAACTCGGCCACCCCGCGCTCGGTGTTCGCTGCGATAAGATGAGGTTCTAAGAAGCACCCAGGCACTGAACCCTAGCAATCTGTCTGCAAGCCGCAGGCGAATGGCAGCCTGAAATTACCTGTTCTATGGCTGAATGAGCTGCGGTCAGTCGAAAACAGGGATGGTGACGTCAGCTTTCCAACATGGTGGCTGCTGGCCTCCTCTGTGGTCTGACCGGTGTGGAGAACCGAGATGGACCGCTTCCTTCCCCCGCCTCGAACCCAGAATTCAGCCCTGAGTACGATGCTTGCACGGCTGGCAGAAACTGCAGCGCTGTATCCCTGCGTCGCTATCTCCTCGTTTCCCAGCGTGCGCTGCAGACTGTAGCCGCGGGGCGATTTGCTGAATAAGCAGTGTTACCCTCCGTGCGACAAACCTCTCGCGTTTGAGTCCCCGTAGCCGATCCTCGTGCGATGGAAATCCTTCCTCCAGGTTCCGGAGCACCCCACTATTGCTGGAAATTCCTAACAAGATAGCCTTTAGCCGTCCTGACTTGTCATACTCCCACACTGTGAAGCAGCACACAGGGGCAATGCACTCCCCTCGCCGCCATCTTCCCCTCTATTTCCACAATAACTCTTTACACAGAGGATCCAGACCCATAGAGAACTCTTACACATTAAATGAGGAAAAGACAAAAACAAACATAAAACCCCCAAAACTAAAACCAAACTAAACCAAACAAAAGAAGCCTGGGGACCCCAATTGTTAAAAAAAAAAAAGTCTAGAAAAACTGGTTTTATAGTAGCATGAGCACAGGGCTTACCATCTTCGCTGGTGTGGGGCTCGGTACCAGCATCCTGGTCCACTTCCTCCAATGTACCGTGCTCACTGTATGGGCTGTCACTGTGGAGCAGAAATGGGAATTCATATGAAACAAAAGTGGGGAGAATTGTTAAAAATGAGTAATTGCTGCCTCAAGGAAAAATATGGTTTTTAATGGCAAAATTTTTACTGGATAGTCTGTCAATGGAATATTAGAACCTCCATTGATTATCTGGTTCTATGGTGATATCTAGCTCTCTATCCATCCACATTCATCTTTAACTAGATTATTTCACAATTCTATTAAGACAGAAATTATAGAGAACAAATGGCATTACAAATAACTCTTATCCAAAGAAAGCAAATTAGCTGAATTCAGACAGAAGATGTTTAATTATTGCCCCATAGACAGACGTGTTTTTGCAAACTCAACCCATTGTTTTGCTACATATAAATTGATGGATCTTTGACTTCGTCTTTGAACTGACCATAGCATCTTTCCCATTATTCCTTGGCATGTGTTCATTTTACATCTATATGAGAATTATGATTTTTATCCTCTTTTAGAACTTATCCTTTAACACTACCACTACCTCTCCTCAAATGTATGCTAATAGGTAAAAATGCATTGGTCACAAACATAAAACTGATGTTACTGTAAAATCCCATTTATATTGCTGATGTTGGGGGACAAGGATAACTACTGTATTATTGATTTTCTGTGTAAAATGAGCAGTGCCCTAGAAAACACTATGTATAAGCAAAAGGACATACTCAAGCCTACATTAACCTTGGTTGCAAGGTTATAACATAGGCTTTACCCAATTTGGAAAAGCAGTGACCACAAAATGTCCTAGATTATAACACATCAAATACTACTGACCCTATCTTTACATACTTGGTCTTTGAAAAAATGAATAAGACAGCAAAGCTTACTGATAAAGCCCAAATATCTAGGAATGCTAAACATGCCTTTGACACTAGCTTTAAAACAAAGATGACTATAACAATAGAATTAGGTATCTCAGCAGGGCTGAGTTTTATTCATTTACTTTCCCAGAGCCCAGCTTCAGGCAAGTACCCTGCACATAAAAAGTACTCAAGTGAATATTACTAAATTTAATTTCATGTGTAAAATTGCTGGATACACTACAGAACTGGAATTTAGCATGGGCTGTGGCTAATTTAGGAAGCAATACTTCTGGAAATAACACCCAGTTTTCTTAACCGTCATACTATCCTTTAAGTAAAAATACTTTCAGTTATTTTTGATCTTTCGGTGATGTGTTCCACTTTTACTTAATCCTCTGCAAGGAAAGGGGAAACACAGTGTCCTAGGCATGGTCCAGAATGAGGATTTAGACATGTTTATTTGTAGCTACTGCTGAGTCTCAGCTGCTCAGACAGTTCTTGAAGGAGGCTGCATGTGGAAAGACTCCTGTGGGCTTTCGAATCAGTTGTACCTGGTGCTATGGTTTGAGTGTGTTTCCCAAAGTTCACATGTTGGAAACAATCCCCAAATTCTCATGTTCATGGGGCCTATGGAAAGTAGTTAGGGTTTCATGAGGTGATAGGGGACATGATAGAATTAGTGGCATTATAAGAAGAGGAAGAGTGTGATCACACCTACTCCCTTGCTTCTGTCATTGATGCTTTCCACCATGTTATAATCAGCAAGAAGGCCCATAACAGATGCCAGGATCTTGATATTAGATTTTCAGTCTCCAGAACTGTGAGAAGTAAATTTCTTTTCTTTATAAGTTACCCAGTTTATGGCATTCGGACATAGCAACAGAACGGACTAGGTTGCTACTAATCACTAAGCAGGCTCCCTGGCCTCTCTAAATTAACAAGGTAGAATATTCATGATAAATACAAGAGATCATGTAGATGAAGTAACCAGCATATAATAGGGGCTCAAGGAATCAAAGCTTGTTTTATTGAATATGATTTCTAAGAAACTTGTTAAAACTCACATTTCAAGTATCAAATAGCACAAACATTTCAGGGTTTTTACTTTTGAGGTTATTCAATTGACTATACTGTCTCCATTTCTATACTTTACTAGGGGGTACCCATACTGCCATATTAAAAATTTTTATTCCTAAAATACATGAATATAATAAATTTGCTCATAATAATCTTTATTACTATAATTCGTTAGAATACTATTTATTAGTAAGGGTTACAGTGAAAATAAAAATAAAAATCTACTTCATTGACAAACCCCCTTTAAAATGAGTCTTAAAATATGTTATGTGGAATCTAAAATATCTGATTAAGAATGAAAAACATTCCAGTCATGGTGATGCATGCCTATAATCCTAGCAGTTTGGGAGGCCGAGACAGGAGGATCATGAGTTCAAAGCTAGCCTCAGTAACTTATCGAGGCCCTAAGTGACTCAGTGAAATCCTGTGTCTAAATAAAATACAAAATGAGGCTGGGGATGTGGCTCAGTGGTTAAGTGCCCCTGCATTCAATCCCTCGTACCAAAAAAAAAAAAAAAAGAAGAAAAAAAAACACACAAAATGTAATCTGCTAATTTAATCAGCCATCTTTTTTTCAGATTTAATGTAATAATAAAAATGAATATAGCTCTCTATACCATCAAAACCTTTATTCTCTACAAAAGCCATAATAATAAGTGGATTTATTTAACAAAATGTAAGTTTGGGGAAAACAGAGGGATGACTATGAATTTCCCTAGTAAAAAGCCAGTGTTGCCATGGATCTTAGTAGACTAACATCGCAAATGTTACTGCTTCTTCCCTTTCTTTTTCCTTTTTAAAAATGGAATCATTGGTCGTTTATAGGCAATTCATTTTCCTAATTCAGTCAATATCTATACTTCCATCATTTTTTTTTTTTTTTTTGGTGGGGAAAGACTAAAATTCTTGGACTTACCAGTAGTCATCTCCAGCCATACATTTCTCATAAACGGGTCCATCCAGTTCTTTAGTGTCTGGGAAAATAGTCTCATGATGGATGATGATGGTCTTGATGATTTCATTCACATGAGCTTGGCAAGACACTTGATCCTGTATTTCTGGGACGGGCATCAATGTTGGGCCAAAGCAAATGGCCAGGTTGTAAGGGTCCATCATGTTCTCATCGCTGTACTGTGAAAGACTGTGAAAGAAAGAAGTTGTAAAGTAACAAGGGGGAAAATGAAACTATGTTTAATAAGATACTTCACCTTCTGAAAACAGGGATGTAAACTATTTTACTTGGTTTTTATTATTAGAATAAAATGATATTTCAGCTGACTTAAAAGTTGAACTTACTGAACTCCAAGGAAAGTAAAATGAGGTATGACTTTCTACTAGGTAAAAACTGAGAAGGGAAAATTTGTTTAATTTTAAGTGATGTTTTTAAAAGTTAGAAGAGAGTTTAATCTAGTATCCTCTGCAATGGCAACCAAAATCAAGTAGATAAGTTTTATTTGTAAATATGGTCAGGCTCTCAACGCTGTTCAAGTAAATTTTGGAGAGACAGTATGATATCCATAAAACTTCATGTATGCCTTTAAATTTGTCTTCACACCACTTAAAAATACCTCAGATTTCAGTTTTCTTCTATATACCATGAGGAAATCTTAGAAGAAAACAAAGTTCCTTTTCTTCTTAACTATTGAAAGGAAGCAACCAACAACTCTAGGCTTTAAAATCTGCTGTTGGCTAAGTCTACCAACACTAACCAACAACCAGAGTCACAAAAACACTGACGTGCCAGAAAAGGGGAACAGAATCCTTGATTCTCTCATTCCACTAAAGGTGGAAAACTTTGGGGAAATTTCTGGTGTTTAGTACCAATGTCTAAACCAAATCCAATGGACATATATGAAACATTTTCACAGGCAGGTCAAAATAAGCCATCTCTTTCATGCCAGGTCTCTAACCCATGGGTTAGGATGCTGTGCTAGGGAGAGTTTTGAGACGCTCTCTCTCAGTATATAGAATGTCAACCTTGAAAGGAAATGTTAAAATCCAGGTGAACAGATGACAGATGGGAGGAGAAAAAGGAGACTCAACTACCTTTGTGAGATGATGAGAGACACAAAGAAACGGAGACACCACCTGACACGATACTTTACCCTTTCTCGGAAATAAGATAGTCTAGAAAGTAGAAAATACAAAAGCATAATTTCCATAGCTAACATATGTCTTTCCCTTCTGCCGTTTCTCAAACATTCACTCTTACAAAGAGTTCACAATAAGAGCAAATGATCATGTTTCACACCATCTTAAAAATGGGGGCAGGATGGAGAGGTGATAATCAGAACAAGAATGGTCTAATTTTCAAAAGACACACTTGAGCTCAGCAGGGAGACTCATAATCTTTTTTTTAGTGCTGTTTTGAAGAGAAAAAAAGCCCAATATAAAAATGCTACTTTTAAGTTTTGATTTTATGATGAAAAAGAATAGCTAATCTTGCTTTCTGTTGCTTTTTTTCTTTTTAAATTCTTTGCAGTGCTGGGTATTGAACCCAGGGACTTCCACATGCTAAGGCAAGCATCCTACCACTGAGTTAAACCCCTGCCTCCCAATCTCTCTTTTCCAACTTCCTGTCCCAAGCAACCTGGACTAGACCCTGGACCCCTGTCTCTTCAAGCAGACAGGGAGCAACTTCAGGCAGAATCACTGGAAGCAATGCCAACTGATTGACCCCTGGTGCATCTGTCTTTCTGTTGAGATTCGTGATGCATTAAATTCAGGTTTTAAAAACTTTCTTAATGAACAGACTCCATTGCGGCTCATTGGTTCATAGTGGATTCGCTCAGCTGTGTCAGGAAAATTTCGTAGGAAGAGCATGGAGAGGGCCAGCAGCAATATAGGGCAGGCCCTGGAAATTTGGGTGTCGGGGCCTTAAGACATGTGCAATTAAAAGTAAAGAAGGAAAGGCCCTGGGTTTTTACAACTGCCTGGGTGACTAGGATTATTTAAAGGTTAAACATAGAGCCTCTATCTAAACTAAATATAATTATTTGAATCTTTCTGGATACCACTAGTTTCTAGTAGTGACTTCTTTTTTTTTTTTTTTTTTTTTTTTTTTTTTTTTTTTCAGTGGTTACTTTTTTACAATTGGTTTCCTATTGTCATTTGGGAATGTTCTGGGCACCATAGGGTCAGCAGTAGAGACCTCTTCTGTTTGGTTCCCCGCTAACATTGTATGGTGTTTGGTTCTTGGGGCCAACTGAGTGGGTATGATTTCAGGACTAGTCAGCAGGGTTGTAGAACATCTCCATGGCTTTTGAGGATGCAAAACCTTCAGTGAAATAGAGATGAGAAAATATCCTAATTTGAGGAAGGGAGGGTACATGCCAGCTTACTCAACATGTTGACTCCCCCTGGATTTCTTTATTTCCAAGTGCTTAACTGAAATGCTGCACAGCAAGAAAGCTCTTCAATAGGACTCCTGGAAGATATTCTTATAATGGAGCCCATACATCAGGAAATAACTGAACATCAAGTTGCCTAAAATAAGAGTAAAGTTTCTCTGAAAACTGTGTAGTGGCTTTTAAGATTTGTTACATTACTTTAGAAAATATTTTAGAAATATATTCTTCTTCACAGGGTCTCATTATGGTGCATTTGCAGAAATTCTTCTTTGGTTCTGTGAATAAGTCTCATCTATGATTTTCTTGCATCTTTGACTATGACATTAAAAAATCACAGAAACTTTCTGTAATGAGCAGACAGTTTATATCATTTTGACAAAAAACGTTAGATTTGGGTGGAGGTTGGAAAAACATATTTCACTAGTAGGTTTTTTTTTTTAGTAGTATTTGGATATTTTTGCATTAACTTCTGGATCAGAGGTTGAGTTTTTATCTATCAATCATACAAAGACTTTGATCTGCTGAGAAAAAAAATGTACCTTCAGTCTACATTCAATCATTTTCTCTTCTACTCTGCTGATAAATAGAACGCAATGTACATTTTTATAAGATTCAGGAACACAGAATTCAGATGGGCATTTTGACAGAGCATTAGGGTACTTACTGATTGAGGAAGGCAAAGAGGTACCTCATCACTATAAGGACCGACCTGGGCAAGGTCAGGAGGAGTTTGCGGATGTGAAGCGCCCTCTCATAGAGATTATCTATTCCTACAGAGAGAAGATGACATGGTCAGGGTCCTTTAACTTCCACATTTAAAGCAGATCATTGCAGTATACATCTGAACATAAACAGTACCTTGCCCTTTGGAAGATGCAATCATAATCAATACAGTGAATAAATGACCAGCTTGGGTGTACCACTGTTTCTGAGGGTGTTTCCTCTGACCCACCACTGTTTTGATGACTGTGGCCTTAGCCTTGAGGAGTTTAAAGTCTTCCTAGATCTAAAAGTCATTTTCCTCTTTGTTGCTAATTTAAAATTTTGCATCTAATATGGTTTCAACTCCTTATTGCTGCACAGGGCCTGATGTGGCTTTAGGGGCATTGCACCAATCTCCTCCAGCCATTATTCATTAATTTATCACATATTTGTAAGCCACTCTGATCCTGGCAATATGCCAGATTTTGAATCTCTCCTTTCTCAAAACTACCATAGCATTTTATTTATGATTTTTTGCCTTGTTTTATATTATTGCACCAATTTTCTAAAGCAAATATTTAGGAGAGCCTACTAGGTTCCAAGTGCTGAATTAAGCCTTAGGAACAGATCAGTGATATAATTCCAGCCCTCACAGAAAGTACATATTTATAATTATTTATTTCCCCATGGGATGGTGAGCTCCTTGAAAAGAAGAGTCCTAGGAGGGATGTCCTAGCATTCTTCTCCCTCTTTTCTAGGAATCCAAATTGTCCAAAATAGCTCAATACTAATGATCTTGTGAAACAGCAGCAAAAAAAGTCACTATACTAATCCCTTCTTTGCTTCACTATTTATACTTTACAATACATTTTTAACATACTATAGTATCTAAGTTAATGGCAATAACATCAGGAGTCAGGGCATATGCTGTCATCCCCATTTAATAGGGTAAGAAAGTGAGATCCGGGCAAGTGGCTTTCTCAAGGTGAATAGGCTAGAAGGGGTGGAGCTGGGATTAGAACCTCTGTCTTCTGTTTCATAAATCTGCTAATTTTTCTTGGATCTCAAAGTGCGTTTATGAAGGACAACTTTTAGGTCACCCAAAAGGTGAACATTTGAGAAAATACTTTAAAGTATTCAGTTGGATGAGGTGAGGCATGTCTGTAATCCCAGTGGCTCGGGAGGCTGGGGCAGAAGGATTGCAAGTTTGAGGTCAACTTCAGCAATAGCAAGCTCCTAAGTGAGATCCTGTCTCAAAATAAAAAATAAAAAGGGCTGGGGATTTGGCTCAGTGGTTAAGTACCCCTGAGTTCAATCCCTGGTCTGCCTCCCACAAGTTACTTCATATTGTTCCATCTAATTCTTAATTCCTAACTGCTCTTGAGATATTCATATCCTACTTGAACAACATCAATTCTCCACCTCGTTTTTTTTTTAACTTTCTCCCACCCCCCCAAATGTGGATATCCCTCAAAAGATTTCTATATGATCTCTTCAATGGCAACTTCATTCAGTCTCAAGGTTACAGCCATCTCTTTTACCACGGTATCTTTTTTTGTCCCTTGTGTGGGAGAGATGTCTGGCTGTTTCTTCTTATGGCTATCTGACTGCTAATTTCCTCAGCTGAAGTTTTTTTATTATTTTTTCACTCAGACCATCATAATATTCTCCTAACTCAGTTTCCCTTTCCCATTCCTCTTAAACTAGTGGCACTCAGCCTTGACTTGGGTTCACTTGGGGAGATTTTTAAAAGTGCTGATGCCGGGATTCTTTTATGCAGCCAAGGTTGAAAACTATTGCCTTAATTACTCATGCCAAACTCATTTTCCTGGAATTTTGAATGCTGACTCCAGCTGCTTTCTACTTATTATCAAATGGGGCCATTTTATTTGTCCCTTTGCACAGTTGAAAAAGGTACAAAAAATGTATTAAGAATATTCTTCACTCAACCACAAGTTAAGTTTGCAAAATAGCAAATAATTTATCAGGATTCCTGGGGAAAGAACACTTCCATTCCTGCCTGCCTTTAAATATGCAGAAGTTGGAATTGTAGCTCTGTCATCTCATAAAAAAAATATTATTTCAGAAACTCTTTCACCAGAATGTTAAGTAAAATATAATAACACATTGAACATTCCTGTGACATTTTTTATTTTTTAAATATAGACCTCTGATTAGTAATAGCATGAGTGTAGTAATTATGAATTGGAAATGTTATATTTGGACTTTTTATTTGTAAAGTATTTCAAAACAAGAAAAAACCCCACTATGTACAAGGTAGGCTAGGGTCACATCTATTGAAGATAAAGTAGTATGTATAATACACTTTTCAGGCAGTGGTCTTTGTTTTTATTTACTAAAAAAGAGGGAGTAAGATGCTTAAAAAAAGTTATTAAACCAGGACATATCATTCAGGCCACTAGAACTCAAAAATTAAATTATTAACATTTCCTCCCAATTTAGACCCAGAATGCCAGTAGGATCAAACTATGTTGTAGAGTAAGCTATTTGCCTTCTGTAACAACCTCATGGAAACTGGGGAACTTACACTGTATCGAGGAAATATCTATGGATGAAGTAACATGAAAGTCATTGAGAATTTAATGGGGATGATTTTTCACCTATTATTTTATATCAGAATTAACTGGTTAAAAGCTTATTATCTGAAATAGCTGACTTTAATAACTGTATCTGATGGTTGTTGCTGCTTTATTATTTTTTTACATTTTTTTAGTTGTAGATGGACATAATATCTTTATTTTATTTATTCATATTGATGTGGGGCTAAGGATGGAACCCAGTGCTTCACACGTGTGAGGTAAGCCTTCTAACCCAGCTTCAGCCCCTGTTGCTGCTTTATTTTAAAGAGTGAAAAGATAATTTAGCACACTGGTATCAATTAATATTGACATTTAGTAGCTTGTGCCCCTTGTTCATTAGTTAATTGTGTTTGCATTAGTGATTTTATGTTCATGCTTGAAACCAGTTACAAACTTTAATACAATCACATAAATATAAATTGTAAAGATGAATGGTCTCACCAATGGTCCTTTGTTGGCAAAACTCTCTCCTCTTTACTGGCCACATATAAAGGCACATGTGAGGATGAAAAACAAAACAATACCAAACACTCTTCCCAAAACACTTCTTGGGTGTTTTGATAGTTAAATCTCCTGATTCTCCAAACTAATCCTCACTTTAAAGTTTAGGTCACCAGGGACAGGATTTCAGCAGCTAGGTTTTACTTCATTTTATTATTTGTTCTTTTAAGTTATACATGACAGTAGAATGTATTTTGACATATTATACATACATGGAGTATAACCTTGCATCTTGTGGTTGTACATCATGTGAAGTTTCACTGGAGTTACACGGGTCGTGTATTCATATGTGAACATAGGAAAGTTATGTCCAATTCATTCTACTGTTGTTCCCATTCCCATCCTCTCTCCCTTACCCCCATTCCCCACTGTCCAATCCAGTGAGTCTCCACTCCTCTCAACACCCCACCTATTTTGAATCAGCATCTGCTTATCAGAGAAAACATTTGGCCTTTGTTTTTTTGGTGGAGTTTGGCTTATTTTACTTAGCATGACATCTCCAGATACATCCACTTATCTGCAAATGCCATAATTTCATTCTTATTTAAGGCTGAGTAATATTTCATTGTGTATATGTACCACAATTTCTTTATCCATTCATCTATTGAAGGGCACCCAGGTTGACCATAGCTTAGCTATTGTGAATTGAGCTGCTATGAACATTGATGTGGTGGTGTCACTATACTGTGCTGATTTGAAGTCTTTTGGATATATGCCAAGGAGTGGGATAACTGGTCAAATGGTGGTTCCATTCCAAGTTTTCTAAGGAATCTCCATACTGCTTTCCAGAGTGGTTGCACCAATTTGCAGTCCCACCAGCAACATATGAATGTACCTTTTCCCTCACATCCTCTCCAACATTTATTGTTACCTGTATTCTTGATGATTGCCATTCTGACTAGAGTGAGATTTGAAGTCTCAGTGTAGTTTTAATTTGCATTTCTCTAATTGCTAGTGATGTGGAACATTTTTTCATATATTTGTTGACTATTCATATTTTTCGGTGAAGTGTCTGTTCAGTTCTTTTGCCAATTTATTGATTGGGTTATTATTATTATTATTGGTGTTGAATTTTTTGAGATCTTTATATATCCTGGAGATTAATGCTTTATCTGAAGTTCAGATGGCAAAGATTTTCTCCCATTCTGTAGGTTCTTTGTTCATGTTCTTGATTGTTTACTTTGAAGAAGCTTTTTAGTTTGATTCTATCCCATTTGATTTTACTTCTTGAGCTTTAGGAGTCTTGTTGAGGAATTTGGTTCCTAACCCGACATGATGAAGATTTGGGGCCTATTTTTTCTTCTAGTATGCACAGGGTCTCTGGTCTAATGCTTAGGTTATTGACCCACTTAGAATTGAGTTTTATGCAGGGTGAGAGATACATGTCTAATTTCATTTTATTACATATGGATTTCCACTTTTCTAAGTACCATTTGTTGAAGAGACTATCTTTTCTCCAGTGTATGTTTACGGTGCCTTTGTCTACTATGGGTTTGTCTCTGTGTCTTCTGTTTTGTACCATCAGTCTTCATGTCTGTTTTGGTTCCAATACCATGCTGTTTTTGTTACTCTAGCTCTGCAGTATAATTTAAAGTCCAGTATTGTGATGCCTCCTGTTTCTCTTTTCTTGCTGAGGATTGCTTTGGCTATTTTGGACCTCTTATTTTTCCAAATGAATTTCATGATTTGCTTTTTCTATTACTATGAAGAATGTCACTGGAACCTTAATAAGAATTGCATTAAATCTGTATAGTGCTTTTGGTAGTATGACCATTTTGACAACTTTAATTCTGCCTATCCAAGAACATGGGAGATCTTTCCATCTTCTAAGGTCTTCTTCAATTTTATTCTTCAGAGTTCTGTCATTATCTTTGTAGATGTATTTCACCTCTTTTGTTAGGTAAGTTCCCAAATATTTCATTTTCCTTGAGGCTACTGTGAATGGGATAGTTTTCCTAATTTCTCTT